GATATATCCAGTCGACAAATCGGCTTCGCCACGTGATATCAACTTTTTTCTCCTTGTTGCTTCAAGTTCACCCGTTTACTTCCGCACCTCTTTACCTTGTTACATCGTCACTCAATCACCTCGCGATCACGACACCATCAAATCGCAATCGTCCGCCATCTTTTCCTCTTCGCGATTTCTGCAGGCCAGCGCTTCGTCGCGACGGGTCACTCGATGCGCCGCGGCTGACAACGTGAGTAAACCACCTGTGCTCGCCTCGTCGTACTGCCGCCCACTGTCTGTGTTGCCTCGTTACGTCCGCTTTGCCATTTGCTCCTTATCCTCCCGGCTGCATCCCACTCGTCACGAGTTTTGAGGCGGCTCAAAACTTCATCCGCTTTGTCCTCTGCTCCTTGTGCTTCCGGCTGCATCCCACTCTCCACAATCCTTACCCTATACCCTCCCAACCTCCCCCTCCCCCACCCCCATTCCCCCGCCTCACCACTATCCTCCCCGCGCCTCTTTCCGACTCCGCCCTTTCCGCCATCGGCCCCCCACCTCCTCGTTAGCATCGCAATCTTCCATTCTCCTCGCTTCTCGTGCTCGGCCGTTCCGCCTTTCCCTTGCCCCGTCATCACGCGTGCACCCGCCCCCTGTCGCACTCTCACACTCCAACACACGCTCGAACGCACCCATGCGCGGCAACATTTGCTGCGCTCTGTCATCCGCATCGCTGCTTCCTCCATCCATCAATTGCGTTATCCATGCAGCAACACCATCCGCTCTCACACGCACGCGGCTCACCGCTTGCTTCTGTACCCCTCAACCCGCCTCCATCCGTCTCTCCCCGTCTTTCCGTTTCTTCGTTAATCCGTCCTCCAACGTACCTGTCCCGGTCTTTCGCAACTCCACCCTCGCTCCAGACAACGGCAGCGGCTGCGTCGGCGTCGGAGGCGCCAGCGGCGGAGATCGCTGACACGTCAGCGTTCATTGCCGATGTGTCGAGCCTCATCAAGTGCGTTCAGTCACACCATTACGTAGAATCGCCCCGTGCCGTCGCGTCATTAGTGTCTTCAAGTGCACAACACAATTGTCCGCGGTGCAGCTCAACTCGCTTCGCTATAATAATCGTCCTCTCTCATAGCTGATCTTTTCTATTCTAGGCCGTTAGTTTCCGTTCCACGTGTTTCTTCGTCCCTTCTCGTTTCGTCGTTCTGACTCCCAGTTCCCTCTCCCTCACCCCCTCCCCTCTCCCCCTTTCCCGCATCCCTCTCCGCTCTCCTTTCTGCGCGCACTCGTGAATTCGCGCAACCCTGCTGCGCGCAAGCAGGGGGGGCCTCCTCGACCCCCCCGCAGAAGTTTCCCCTCCCTCCCGTCCGCGCAAGCAGGAGGGGCACAGTATTGCGCAGCTCAAGCACACTCGCGACGTTCCTCTCGATTGGAAGCCCTTGTGCCGTCGCACTCCCCTCGCTTTCCCAACCTCTCCCCCTTCCCCATTCCCCTTCCGCTTGCCTCTGCATTCCCACCCCCCCGTTCCGCGCAGGCTGGTGGATTCGCGCGATATCGTCGAGCTGGAGCTCAAGCAGGGGGGGTTCGAGATTCTTATCCGCAAGAAGGAGGCTCTCCCCGCGCCCGCCGTCCCCGCCGCGCCCGCCGCGCCCGCCTACCCCGCCTTCCCTCCGCCCCAGATGTTTCCGCCGTTTCCATACGCGGAAGCCCCCGCCCCCGCCCCCGCCGCCGCCCCCGCGCCTGCTGCCAAGCCCGCTGCTGCGCCCGCCGCCCCTGCGCCGCCTCCGCCCGCCGCCCTTCCCCCCATGGTTTCCCCCATGGCGGGCACCTTCTACTCCTCCCCCGCCCCCGGCGAACCCCCCTTCCTCAAGGTGAGACCCGTAGGTCAAGGCGAGGTCTCCCCTGGTCAACGCGAGGTCTCCCTTGGTCAAAGCAAGGTCTCTCTTGGTCAAGGCGAGGTCTCCCTAGGTCAACGCGAGGTCTCCCCTGGTCAAGGCGAGGTCCGCTCCTCAGGGCGCATTCCAAACGTGTCCTATGTCCCTGCTCCGAACCTTCCCTGCCCATCCCATTCTGCATAAATCCAATCCACCAACTCATTTTCGCATTCTAACGTGTGGGTGTTACTTTCTTTCATGGCATGCTCGCGTGTTGGTGTTGATATGTCTGGGTCGGTGATGGCTTGTTGCATGGCATGGCATCTGGCATGGCGTGGGGCATGGGAAGGGATGGATGACATGACCGTGCATGGCCTGGCACGGCATGGCATGGCATGGTGCGGCATGGGATGGCATGGTGCGGCATGGCAGGTTGGGGACAAGGTGACCAAGGGGCAAGTGGTGTGCATCGTGGAGGCCATGAAGCTCATGAACGAAATCGAGGTGCGTGCGTTCGTGTGTGTGTGGCAAGAAAGAACAGCCCCCCTTGTTGGCATTTGAGTGACTCAAAGTCGCCTCGTTATAAGCTGACTCAATCGTCTCCCAAGTGGTGTGCATCGTAGAGGTCATGAAGCTTATGAGCGCGATCAAGGGGTGTGGCGCGCAAACATTGTTGCAAAAAAATTCAGTGTGTTCTGCTGGACGTCAAGTCATAAGAATTTGCCGCACTAGAAGTTGTGTTGCTGCATGAGTGATTTGCTGCACTGGCTGGAATAGAAATGTGTTTGGCAATTGGAGCCAATCCAGTGGTTTCCATGTGTGAGAAGCTGATGACATGACCTCTCCCCCCCCTTCTGCCCCTCCCTCCCCATGGTTTCCCGTGTGCAGGCGGACCAGTCAGGGACGGTGGTGGCCATTCTGGCAGAGGACGGCAAACCAGTGTCTGTTGGCGCGGTAAGGCCCCACACGCACCCCTGGTACTGGCATCTTGTCTTCCCTTGTATCAATGTGACGGAAAGATTTTTGGGTCAGCTCAAAAATCGACTTTTCACACGCGGTAAGCCCCCCCCCCCCCCCCCCCCCCCCCCCCCCCCCCTCACACCCCTGGTACTGGCGTGTGACGGGAATCACGTGTGCTTTCATTTTCAGGGCATCCCTGTTCTCTCTCTCTTCTGCCTACCTCCTGTCCCTGTCCCTTTTTTCCCCCGATTCCATTCCTAGTCATCTGATTTACCGGTTTCTAATGCACTCTCGTCCACTTTCCATAACTCTCTCCCCTCTCCCTCCACCTGTATTCCTTCCCTCACCAATCCCATCCCCACCCGACCCACAAAACCCAATGTGCTTGTTTTGCAGCCTCTATTTACGATCAAGCCATAAGCTCCATTGCAGTTGTCCATTTATTCCAATATATAAAATCGTTTCCATCTGGTAACAGCATGCGGTGGATTCATAGATATTGTTTCTGAGCCTAGTTTTCCATGTAGTGCTCAGAAGCATGTTTTTGCATGTTCCAGGCCTAATTTGCCTGTAGTGGAATCTGCATGCTGTAGTTTTCGGATGAAAAATATTTCAGAATAACATGATGAACATGAGAAGCTTGCCAGGTAATCTGTTAAACCAATTTCGTTTGCAGGTCTGCAAGTCCCTCTGCTTCTTTTTTTTTCCTTTTTTTTTTGAATAGCAATCGAGGTACTATCTATTACAATGTTGCATAATTACGCAAGGAAAAGGAGTGGAAACGGGAAGAGAGGAGAAAAGGAGGAATAACGTGAGTAGAAAAAAGGAGAGAGGAAGAAAGGAGGGGAATAGGGGAAAAATGATAGGAGGAAGAAAAACAGGGAAGAAGGAAGAAAAAGCAGCACACACAACCCCAAGAAAACCCCAATAGCACACACATTTAAAACACCATCAAGCCCTCCCATCAAAGCACCCCAACTGCACTCCCATCGAACCAAACCTCCCCCCCTAAACCCACTCCCTAAACCCGCATGTCTACCAAGTATGGTGCATCCGCCCACGGAGCATCCCATCCCATCTCCTCCTCAACATCCTCCCGCTCCACCCAAACAGCCTCTGGGCCTCTCATCATCGACGCAGCGCGTAACAAGATCACACGCGCCTGAGCCCGTTGCAAAGCCACACCCACAGCCGCTTTGAGCGATCCGAGCAAATAAGCCGAGAAACCCTTTCCCGTAGCTCGCGCCGCCCCTTTCGTCTTTGCTATCTCGATCTGCGCGTCACCCTGCTTCTTAAGCCACCGTCCAAAACTCCCCCCCAAGCATCCCCATGTCTCAGCAATGAGTGGTGTGAACTGCACTCCCCCATGCCGCTGTAGAAGCGATTTGTAGTCCGCCGTCTTCCGCTTTTCTCTCTCTCTCGCGGCAAAACCCACCTTGCGACCAATCTGTCCATGGTGCTGCGCGGATAGCGAGATAGGATCTACCACACTAGGATATGACACGAGTTTTGCCTCACTTATTTTTGCTACGGTATCTCATCTGGCGTCAACCAGCCAGGATTATGGATAATGGTGTGTGTATGATATAAAACATTCTAACACTAATTTTGCCAGCCTTCGCAATTCCTCTTCATGCTGTACTGGGGCCTTAAAAATACCTTTTCTTTAGAAGGGATAGGATGGACAAGGCCATCCACTTTCACTATAAGCACAAGAAAACAAAAAGGAACGTGCATTTATTGAATATCGCACGGTCCGATATACATGCGCAGCAGCAACAGCACTTGCTTGAAGAGCCAAGAAAAGCAGCCCAAGCGTAGAGGCAGAGCAGGCACCACACACAGAGCAAGCCCCCAGCCGCATGACAGCCGTGACAGTGTCTCACTGGCATCCCAACAGAATCCAATGCAGCGGCAAGAAGGAAAACAAGCATCTGGTCAATCACACCACAGCACAGAAAGTGCCCTGCTTTTCGGTACAACACAAGGCCAGTCCGTGCCATCGTGTGACAAGGTTTCCCCACGTCTCTCCCATTCCACTCTCCCTCGCCGCATCCCCACTGCATTCAAACGCTGACGTGTCAGCAGAAGCCCGTGAGGCGGAAGACGTGTGGGCATGGGGCAAAATAGGCCTAAGGGTTTTCAGGTTTAAGAACCAGCTGCAAGGCAAATGGGCTGTCATCGAATGTGGCTGCGCTCTGATGCCAGCATGGACGAGCTTGGGGGTTCCTGAGAGGGAGGCAGAGGGGTGGAGAGGGGTTGAGAGGGCAGGAGAGGGGGGTGAAGAGAGGTGGAGAACAGACAGGGGATGGAAAGAACAAGGCAGGGAGAAAATCAGAGGACATTCACGCAGGGGGGGGGTGGTTCTCAGACAGGCAGCCTCGGGGACTAATAGCGTAGGTTGGGACAGGCAGCAAGGGACGGGTGCTTGGCTGTAGAGAGGCAAGGTGGGCAGAGAGGAGCGATGGGCAGAGTGGCGCAGTGGGAACAGCAAGATGAAGGTGGTGTGTGAGCACCCGTGTGTGAGCACCCGTGTGACCATGACAGCTGTGCATGTGAATCACACCAGCCCTGAATCATACCAGCCCTGAATCATACCAGCCCTGAATCACACCAGCCCTGAATCATACCAGCCCTGAATCACACCAGCCCTGAATCATACCAGCCCTGAATCACACCAGCCCTGAATCATACCAGCCCTGAATCACACCAGCCCTGAATCATACCAGCCCTGAATCATACCAGCCCTGAATCATACCAGCCCTGAATCACACCAGCCCTGAATCATACCAGCCCTGAATCACACCAGCCCTGAATCACACCAGCCCTGAATCATACCAGCCCTGAATCACACCAGCCCTGAATCACACCAGCCCTGAATCACACCAGCCCTGAATCATACCAGCCCTGAATCATACCAGCCCTGAATCATACCAGCCCTGAATCATACCAGCCCTGAATCATACCAGCCCTGAATCATACCAGCCCTGAATCATACCAGCCCTGAATCATACCAGCCCTGAATCATACCAGCCCTGAATCATACCAGCCCTGAATCATACCAGCCCTGAATCATACCAGCCCTGAATCATACCAGCCCTGAATCATACCAGCCCTGAATCATACCAGCCCTGAATCATACCAGCCCTGAATCATACCAGCCCTGAACCACACCTGTCCACCGACCTGCGACTTGGACCCACCTGGGACTCACCTGAATTTGGGACCCACCTGAATCTGGGACTCACCTGAATCTGGAACCCACCTGAATTTAGAACGCATGTGAGAGGCAGTGCTGCATACCTGTGACTTGGTTCCCGGAAAGACATTCCAGAATCTAAGGGTCTCATCGCCCGCTCCCGTTACAATGGTCTGCGATTGTACAAGATAGAGGAGGGCGATGGCTGGGACTGTAAGAAATAACGGAGAACGATGGGTGGATTGTAAGGTAAGGGGTAAGAAAGTGATAGTAACGGGCATGAAGTAGGGAGGTAAAAAAGCAGCAATGCAAACGAATGCCGTTGCACAACCAAAGCAGTTACAGACAAAGATGACCTTTTGAGAATTCTCAAAAACAATTCTGTGATTTGCCCATATGGCAAGCACCAAGGTGCCTTGTGTGTGCCTTGGGAGATGCTACATGCGCCTTCAGCAAACACACACCCTTCTAAATGAGGCCAATGAGGACGCAACTAAAAGACAAAATCAGGAAGCTTCTAAAAGACATACTTAGCCGCCACACCAGACTGCTAGAAGACACACCTGGCCGTCTGGCGACACGGCGAGGAAGAGCACCCGCATGGTGTGGCCGGTTAGAGTGGCCAACTGGCAGAAAACGACAAAACACAGGATAAGGAAAAGATGAGGCAAGCGCGCGCCTAGTGGGAAACAAAATCTGAAGCTCAGCACAACAGGGAAAAGGGGGGGAGGCAGGCAAAAGGGATATATTATCAACAAAAATTCAGTCTGCATGAATGGTGAAAATATCTGCCATGAAGGGTAATTAGTTACCTTGGCCATGGAGGGGTATTTCCAAACAACGACTTGGTTCTGCGAGTAGCCATGCGTGCTTGCCAACTCGTTGGCATTGCGCGACCACAGGAGGTTGCACACCTGTAGACATGCGTGCATGCATATTCGTGTACACACACACATGCATAGATACGTCATGTGTACATGGGTGAATGACATGCGCACATACACATGCACATGGACGGAAGCACCAATGGGTGGAGGAAAGTGTTGATGGGTGGAAAGGAGTGCAGATGGGTGGAGGGGAGGGCGAGAATGGAAGGAAGGCAGGATGAGGGACAAAGACACACACAACCCTGTGGGAACACTGCAGGGAGGAGAGAGCCAGTCGGGTTCCCAATGCACATTGAGGTGATTTATTTAGGCGCCTCAAAAATCACCTCAATGAACTGCAGGGGGAGAGAGCCGGTCGGGTTCCCAACTGGCTGCTAGTGTGAAGCCACACGACAAGCAAGGTGGAAAAAAACGATTGCGGAAAAAAACGGTTGAAAGAAACGATTGTATTTTACGATAGGTTTTAGGGAAAAAAACGACGTTTTTTTGCTAGACCAAAAAAATAAAACACCCAAAAAAAAAACAATATCAGAATAAAACAAAACAAATAACAACAATCACCATTCACACATACAACAAATATGTGTACGAGAAAATTTATATTGAAAACATAGTTTATTAATGAAACCGAACATATAGAATAGGAGTGTATCAAGTGAACTTATTAAATAAAACTCGTTGTCATCTTCACTAAGACAAAATGTGAGCGAGTGGATGAAAAATATGGCACGAAATCCTTTTTTTTTTCATGCTTTTTAAGGTTTGGTAAACCAGCACAGCTAAAAACATGCTAATTACAAAGTAAAAGTAAGCATAAAAAGTGGTTCGAAAAAAACGATCGTTTTTTTTTTTTTTCACCCAAATTTTTTTTTCCATCCTTACCGCTTTTTATCGTTTTATATGATGGTATGGTACGATATCGAAAAAAAACGGCCAAATCTTGAAAAAAAAAACGTCGTTTTTTTGCACCTTGACGACAAGGGCGAGGCAGTGGTGGTGTTCCAGAATCAGATGTAGGGGTCGAGAGAGGCCAAGAGCGGTTGAGTGGTAATGAGTGAGAATCTCACCTGGCTACCAGTGTCGACCCACAACAAGGGCGTGGCAGTGGGGGTGTTCCAGAAGTGAATGCAGCGGTCGTCTGTACCACCTCCCGGGGCGAGTAGCCCGTGCTGACCAAGCGATGGCCTTCACTCCCGCCTGGTGCTGGGGCTGCCAGCGAATGCCGCGGTCAAGAGAGGTGAAAAAAGGTTGAGAGAGAAAGAGACCCCACCTGACTACCGGTGTCGACCCAGGACAGCGGCGTGGCTGTGGCGGTGTTCCAGAAGCGGATGCAGCGGTCAGCCGTGCCGCCCCCTGAGGCCAGTAGCCCGTGCTGGTGCGGCGACCAGGCGATGGCCTTCACTGCCGCCTGGTGCTGCGTGAACCGCACCACTGGCTGCTGTGACGTTAGCACACTCCAGATTAGGAGCTGTTAAGAGGGAAGAGGGGACGGGGGGTTGAGAAGGGGGGCAAGGGAAACGCACGTTGAGGGGTGGTACAAGAAGCGCGCCGGTGGGCAATGGCGTTGACTGCCGCCTGGTGCTGCATGAACCGCACCACTGGTTGCTGTGATGTGAGGACGCTTCAGATTAGAAGCTGTGAGAAGGGGGTCGGGAAGAAGGGAGGTAGGGAGGAAAGGGAGGGAGGGGAGGGGATGGCAGAGGAGGGGAGAGGGAGGAGAGGTTAGCATGTAGGAGAGGTGTGAGAAGAAGAGGAAAGAAACGAGAAGAGGTGCAGAGGAGCAGGGGAGCAGAGGAGCAGAGGAGCAGAGGAGCAGAGGAGCAGAGGAGCAGAGGAGCAGAGGAGCAGAGGAGCAGAGGAGCCCGCACACTTCGCTCCGGTGTGCCGTGAGTCGAGCTACAAAGTCCACCAGCAAGCGCACGTCCCTCTGCAGCACACTGCGGTCCCGACTGCCCCTGCCCCTCCCTCTGCTCCTGCCCCTTGTCGCTGCCTCTGCCCCTGCCTCCGCCTCACCTGGTTGTCATTCCCTCCGGATGCCAGCTCCCTGTCATCAGGCGACCATTTCAGTCCGCACACTTCACTCCGGTGAGCCGTGAGTCGAGCTACAAAGTCCACGGGCGAGCGCACGTCCCGCTGCAGCACGCTGCGGTCGCGGCTGCCTGTTGCCAGCACGTTCGCCGCCCACGCCATGGCTCCCACTCGCACCCTGTGGCCGCCCATGGACCGCACTCGACGCCCCTTCACCACGTCCCACACCTGGTGAGATATAGCGAGGGAGGGAGGGTTTGCAGTTTGAGAGTAGATTGGGGAAGGAGAAAGGAGATGGTGAGAGGGGCGAGAGACTATGCCTGCCCATTCCCAACATGAGACGATTTTTTAGTCGACTCAAAAATGGTGAGAGGGGCGAGAGACTATGCCTGCCCATTCCCAACATGCCCTGTCGTTGCTGCCCCCCACGCACTTGCAATTGTCCCCCCACGCACCCACACGTGTTACCCCACGCATCCCCACGTGTCCCCCCACGCATCCCCACGTGTCCCCCCATGCACCCCCACGTGTCCCCCCACGCACCCCCACGTGCCTCCCACACACCTGCACGTGGCCGTTGTTGGTACCAACAGCCAGCAGCGTGCCGCGCTGCGTCCAGCTGACGGAGCACACAGCGTCGCTGGGCCCCACGTCCACCAGCTTCGTCACCTGCGCGGTGGGGAAGGGGGAAGGGGACGGACGCCCGGAAGGTGAGGGGCGGGCGGAGGAGGGCAGGGGGAGAGCAGAAAATGCTTTTGCTGCGTCCAGCTGTCGGAGCACACGGCGTCGCTAGGACTCACGTCCACCAGCTTAGTCACCTGCGCGGAGCGCGCAGGGAGGGGGAGAGAGGGCGGAGTAGAGAGCGAGGTGGGAGAGCGCGGGTGAGCGCAAGGTGGGAGAGCGCGGGTGAGCGCAAGGTGGGAGAGCGCGGGTGAGCGCAAGGTGGGAGAGCGCGGGCGAGCGCAAGAGCAATCATGGTGGCCGCGACGGCGGAGACAGTGACGGCGACGGCGACTGAGACGGGGTGCAGAGCTCAGCGGCGATGGGAAACCCCCTAACAAGCCAGCCACCGCGTGCCCCTGCGCGCTCCCGCCAGCCGACCAGCCAGCTGCGATGCGATCGGCATATGCGCGCATCGGCGCACGGGTTGACAGAACGTACACGTGCCAGTCAACGGCATGTGCGTGTGCCAGCCAGCGGAATGTCCGCGTGCCAGTCGGCGGAATGGTTTATAACGAGGATGAACTCTCCAGATGCTCCCTTACACCTTCTCCAACTCTCTTCCCCCGCCCTCAACTTCCGCCAATAGCACTGCGACAATTGCACCGTCCGCTCGCCTCCTCCTCCCCTCCCTTTCTCCGCCTTTCCGCACGCCTTCGCCCTTCCGCCCGCCTGAACTTTTCCGCTCCTGTGCCCTTCCGCTCGCTTGCGCCTTCCCGCTCGCCTACGCCTTTCCGCTCACATGGATGCTTGGCGCGCTCCAGAGCTACTGAAACTAACTACCTCCCTGCTAGCATTTAAATTGACTACCTCCCTGCTAGCATTTAAATTGACTACCTCCCTGCTAGCATTTAAATTGACTACCTCCCTGCTAGCATTTAAATTGACTACCTTGCTGCTAGCATTTAAATTGACTACCTTGCCGCTGGCGTCATTTAACTACCTTGCCGCTGGCGTCATTTAACTACCTTGCCGCTGGCGTCGTTTTACTTTTGATTACCTTGCTGCTGGCCGCGTGATTACCTTGCCGCTGGCCGCGTGATTACCTTGCCGCTGGCCGCGTGATTACCTTGCTGCTGGCGGCGCTCCAGAGGTAGACGCACGAGCCGAGCCCCACGGCGAGCACGTTGGTGGACGACCAGTCGACGAGGTTCAGATAGAAGTCGTCCTGTAGCGCGGGCGCATCTAGGACCTGATGATTGGAGGGACAAGGAAGAGGGGGTGGGGGGGGGGAGGAGAAGAGGCGTGCAGTCGGCACGTTGGTGGACGACCAGTCGACGAGGTTCAGGTAAAAGTCGTCCTGTAGCGCGGGCGCGTCCAACACCTGGTGAAGCGGCGTGCAGAAAGGGCCGGAGAGGGAGGAGGGGGGAACGCGGAAATGAGGAGAAGGGGAGCGCAGTGAGCACGTTGGTGGACGACAAGTCGACGAGGCTCAGATACAAGTCGTCCTGTAGCGCGGGCGCGTCGAGCACCTGGTGAAACAGGGGGCGGGGACTAGGAGAAGGTGGGGGCGCGGAGGAGGGGGGGAGGATGAAGAGGAGACGCAGAGCGCAGTGAGCACGTTGGTGGACGAGCAGTCGACGAGGTTCAAATAGAATTCATCTTGCAGCGTTGGCGCGTGGAGCACCTGGTGAAACAGGGGGCGGGAAGAGGGAAAAGTCGACAGAGATTGTTGCCGTGATAGGGGGAGAGGTGAAGGATGGAAAGGCGGCGACGGGTGCAGTCTTCTCGTTAGTGCTCCACCAATCGACGACGTTCACATAAAAGTCGGCTGCAGCTCCCAGCACCTGAGGGAGGAGCGGAGTGCGGGGAGGCGGAGCGGGGAAGCGGTAGACGCGCGCGGAGGGAATGGCGTGAGGAGGCGATGGCGAGGGGAGGTGATGGCGAGGGGAGACAATGGCGAGGGGAGACAATGGCGCGGGGAGACAATGGCGCGGGGAGACAATGGCGCGGGGGAGCACGAAACCAGGGGTGAGGTGCAGAAGGGGAAGGCCGGGGGAGGGAAGCCCGGGGAGGGAAAGGTGGGCGGGGCGGAGAGGTAACGGGCTAAGTGAACGGCATGCGACGCTAAGGGGGCGGGCGAGCCAGCAGCATAAGCGAGTATCGGGGATAAAGCGCAGCCGAAACGGCGACCAATCGTTCGAATGCGCGCGAGGCGTGACGGGAGCGCGATAGCGAGCGACATATAACGAGAGGGAGATACGGAGCAAGAGATAAGAAGCGAGAATTTCCGGCACGCAGCGAGCGAGCGCACCTTGAAAGGCGATCTTGCAATTTTCCGTGGCGCCTTTTTGGGGCTGAACGGCAGCCCGCACAAGGCGGCGTCCAACCCGATGGGCGACAGCGACAGCGGCGAGTCCAGCCCGCTTCCCCCGCCATGATCCGCGGCGCCGCCTGCGCTGCTTGCGCCGTTAATATATCGGAAGAGATTTCTGGGCGCGAGAGGGGAGGAGGATGAGGAGTAAGGGGAGGTAGCGGCGGAAAGCAGGGGGACGCGACACGGTCTACCAAGCACGCACTCCGACTCTTGTGCGGAACTCGATCCTAGCGCAGGCGGCGCGGAGAGATGCGCGCCGAGCAGCTGCGACTTCAGCAGCAGCGAGTACGCTGCTGCGCTGTCCTCCCGCCCCTCGGGGCCCGCGCCGAAACCGTGCGACGTTTGCGGAGGGTCGCCGGGACGGTCGAGGAGCGGGAAGGAGAAGGCGAGCGACGACGAGCGGCTAGGAATAAAGCGGTCGCTGTATGGCGCGGTGCGAAACGGACTAAAGGAAGGCGAAGGCGCCTCGGGCAGAGGCGCTGCGTCCGTCGCGCGGTAGATAGGGACGTCATGATAGGCTTTGGCGGTGCTGCCGTTCGAGGAGTACGAAGAGGTGGAAGGCGATGAGGAGGAATCGGCGGATTTGTTGGAAGAGTAGAACGTGGAGGTCGTGGGGAGCAACGCCGGCTCCGCTGAATGCTCCGTGGCGCCGTGTGCGGTAACTAATCGCGAATCTACTGCCATCTGACTAGCGCCACTACTTCTGTCGGCCATGGCTACTCGCTTGCTGTGAAAATCCTTTGAACGATGGAGCAGGGGCAAAACTGTGAGCGAACAGCACGAAAACTATTTAGTGAAGGGTAAGAGCTGAACTACCAAGGGTGGTCGGAACGAGCGCCATGGCTGTTCTGTTCTGATGCCCCAACAAGGGGCTATCCGCATCCCGTACGAAAGCAGGCAGCGGAGCGCATAGCCACATTCCCCCCGATTTCACCTGCGCCCGCCCCGTGCCAGCGCCAGTCAGCTGCCCGCGAGACTTCAGTAGCACGCCGATGTGTGGGTGGGGTGTTTGAGGAGGGGGAGAGCGGAGTGGGGAGGGGAGCTGGGCGGGGCTAGTGGGGTGGGGCCTGGCTGGAAGGGGCTGTAGGGGAATACTTGCGAAGGAATTCGAGCACGTAGGGTCGGTGTACCTGCGCTGGCGACGGAAGCGGAGCTCCCGCGAACCCTGAAGTAGGTCTGATAGGGTAGGGGGAGGGGCTGGTCGTACGGTCGCACGCGATTTCGTGGTTGTCAAGAGGAGCGTCGCATCGGCCACGGAATCGCAGCCTCCGCGTGGACGACGGGATGCGGAGTCGTGAGTGGAGTTCCCGAGGTTGGTTGGGGGAGGAGCCACCCGGCATTCCGTGGCACCCACGTCGGGGGCGAACCGCTTTCCGAAGCGCTCATCTATTGCATGGAGCCGTACCATAGGTTGGCAGCTTGAACGAGGGGAGGGACCATCAGTGAGATTATAGCGAAATAGGCTAGGATATCTATTATTCTTGCAAAGAAACACTAAACGCATATCTTATATATCAAGTATGGGATGTATGAAAAACGTGGTTGAACAATCACTCTACAAAGAGATGTAGTATCATACCCCAGACATAGATGCAGGTAATGTTATAACAGGGTGTAGCATTACCAATTATTACACCCATGAAACAATCGATTCCATTATTTTTTATCTCAGTGAAGATCCAGGGGTCATCCAGCCTGGAGATCACAGTATGGTATGGCAATGGCAACATCCAAGAGAAATATTACACAATTTAATCACTGCCGCTGAATGACAAAGAATATTATATCAAACAAATGTTGGGCTGAGATAGCCCCTTAGGATCTTTTCAAGGGAGAACTCTGGGTAGGACAATTGTAATAGCGGAAGCTTTTAGTGAAGTAATTGTGAACCACCTTGCGCTAGTATGTGAGGGCAAGATAGATTGATTATAACAGGAAAGTACAAGAATATATAGTGGTGTAAGGAATGTCAAAGGATACGGTTATAACTACTTTTACTGTTGCTGTTGCGGTTCGATACAGTACGACTCGGGCAACTGTTCTGTAACGAGTCAGTTGTATGTCCTTAACTGTCGCGCTGTACTTGTCGGGTCAAAGGTCAGCGACCTTTGACCTTCGCGTAACCTCCAGCAACCTCTTCAACCCCCGAGGGTTGACTCGCGGGTGCTTCGGTGTAGTTTGCCTCGCTTCTGATGCGGTGTTTTCGACACGACTGAAGCGCTTAGGTCTTATTGTTTCCAACACTCCCCTTCGCTTCTGGAGTGTCGCTGCTGGTGACGTGGCCCTGTCCAGTCAGCAGCATGCAATACTCGAACTTTTGCTTTCCGAGTTTCTTGGTCAAGTAGTCAGCTGCCATCTCGGATGTGGGGCAGTATGACAGCTCGAGTCTCCCCTTCTCGATCTCGTCCTTCACGAAGAAGTAACGTAGGGCAATATGTTTCGTCCTGTTCGCGAAGCCGTTCTTGTTGGCGATGCGAATTGCTGACTGGTTGTCGCAGAACACGTTAAAGTTGGGTAACTCGGCTAACTTCGCTTCTTCCAGTAGCTCGCGAAGATAGAGTCCTTCTTTGGTGGCTGAGCAGAGTGCGATATATTCTGCTTCAGCCGAAGATAGCGCGATTAACTCCTGCTTGCTTGACTGCCAGGAGATAGGACCGATAGGCTCGAGGCGGTAGACGTAGCCGGTGCGTGAGCGTCTGTTGTCAGTGTCGCCGGCGTGATCGGCATCGACGTAGCCGATTAGCTTGGTTGGTGTAGCTGCGTTCTTGTGATAAGTTAAGCCGATCATTGCGGTGCTGATAAAGTAGTGCAGAGCGCGGTCAAGTTCCGCCAGGTGTTCTGCTTCAGGCTTCTTGAGATAAGTGGCGAGCTGGCTTGCGGAGTAGGATAGGTCGGGTCGGCAAGTGACGGCTGCGAAGAGAAGGCAACCTAGCTTCCTCTGATAGTTGCGTATGCCGGCGGATTTAAGTGGGGTAGATTCCTTATCGGCTCCTGTCGTGTAGCGGTATGGTGTTGAAATCGCGGCTGGCGTAATTCCGAATCGTTTGGCGATGGCGTCGGCGTACTTTTCGGCGCTGAGGTAGATCGCGTCGTTATCTTCTCGAATGTTAAGTCCGAGATACTGTGTGACGGTAGATGAGACAGTGAGGGTGAGGTCCCTCTGCAGCTCCCCTTCGAACCAGGTGGTGATGCTGTCGGTAGAGCCGATGTAGAGAAGATCGTCCACGTAGACAATTAGCAAGATGTAGTCGCTGTTCTTCGTGAGGCGGTACATGCCCTGATCGTGCGGGAGTTGTTTGAAGCCGATGCGGATGAGACGAGTATGCAGGTACTGCTGCCACAGTCGCGGTGCCTGCTTGATCCCGTAAAGCGATTTTAGTAGCTGGCAGACGTGCGTGGAATTTGTATTAGAGCCGTGCGGTAGTTCCACGAAAATCTCTGCATCGACCGGTGCGTAGAGAAAAGCGTTTGCGACGTCGATTTGGCGCAGTTTCTTTTTCTTCATAGCGGCGATGGCGAGAAGAATTCGAAGTGAAGTGTGGCGGCTGACCGGAGCGAAGGTTTCGGTGAAGTCTCGTCCATGTTCCTGGTCAAAGCCGCGAACGACCCATCGTGCTTTAAACTTGTCGATGGTGCCGTCGGCCTTCGTCTTCACACGGAAGACCCATTTGTTAAACTGTATTATGCTTGTAGGCTGTAGTGGGGTAGCCAATATGGGGTACAACCCCAACTAGGGTTTCATATTTGTACCCAAACTTCTGTTAGTTCATTCATTCTTGCCTAGTGATTCTGACATGGTATTCAGAGCAGGAGGTCCCTAGGACCTACCGACCGTTTTTTTTTAAGGGCCCACCACCGCTCGCATGCGGTTACCACGCTACCCCGTGCCCTAGCCTCGTAGCGCCCTCGTGCGCCCACGTTAGCGCCCTCGCGCGCCCCTCGTTAGCGCCCTCGCGCGCACCCTCGTTAGCGCCCTCGCGCGCACCCAAGAGCCGCAAGAGTAGTCCTCAGTGTGTCGTGCCACTCACGTGGCGCCTGGCGGAGACCGTAGACTGGCCGGCGGAGACTCCACTGGGTACCAGGGGGAAACGACCCAGTAAAGCCAGGTGGGCGGCGCAGCCAGATCTCCTCGTGCAGGCTGCCCTGCAGGAACGCTGTGCTGAAGTCAAGAGAGTGAAGCTCGTAGTCACGCTGAGCAGCAACGTGCAGCAGAACCCGAAGAGTGGTCATCTTCGGGGTGGGGGAGAAGGTCTGGAAGAAGTCGACCCCCTGACGCTGACTGAAGCCTCTAGCAACGTAACGAGCCTTGAAGACAGGCGGAGAACCTGGCGGCCGCTTCACCCTGAAAATCCACATGCCATCGACGATGTTCGCCCCAGGAGGGGGAACCTCGTCGACGTAGGTGCCTGTGGACTTCCAGGATGCCATCTCTGCGTCCATGGCTGTCTGCCACTGAGAGGAGTAGGGACCCGAGATCGCCTCTGCGTAAGTGCGCGGAGTGGGGATGTCTAGTGCATCCGGGTCTCCCTCAGGGGCAAGCAACCAGGCCACGAGATGAGGTACAGCAGCCGCAAGAGAGTCAAAGTCCTCCTCGGCGTGTCCCTCTACCGTCTCCTCCTGCGTCCTCTTTGCCTGCCGTTCCGGACCCTGAGTCTGACCGGTATCGCGCTGAGCACCCTACAGTCACGCGTCTCCTTGCTACTGTTGTCACTGACCCCACCTTTGAGTCCTCGGCTGCGTCTGCTCTGGTCGCTGAGTTGGTTGACTTTGCTGCTGCCTGTCGTCTAGACTACGCTGCTAGCCTTGTCGCTGAGTCAGAGTCTGCGTCTGTCTGTCCTCCGTCCGTCGGGGGTGAGTGTGCTCTTGGCACGGACGTCCTTGAGGACAGGCAGGAGGACTTTGACTCTCTTGCGGCTGCTGTACCTCATCTCGTGGCCTGGTTGCTTGCCCCTGAGGGAGACCCGGATGCACTAGACATCCCCACTCCGCGCACTTACGCAGAGGCGATCTCGGGTCCCTACTCCTCTCAGTGGCAGACAGCCATGGACGCAGAGATGGCATCCTGGAAGTCCACAGGCACCTACGTCGACGAGGTTCCCCCTCCTGGGGCGAACATCGTCGATGGCATGTGGATTTTCAGGGTGAAGCGGCCGCCAGGTTCTCCGCCTGTCTTCAAGGCTCGTTACGTTGCTAGAGGCTTCAGTCAGCGTCAGGGGGTCGACTTCTTCCAGACCTTCTCCCCCACCCCGAAGATGACCACTCTTCGGGTTCTGCTGCACGTTGCTGCTCAGCGTGACTACGAGCTTCACTCTCTTGACTTCACCACAGCGTTCCTGCAGGGCAGCCTGCACGAGGAGATCTGGCTGCGCCGCCCACCTGGCTTTACTGGGTCGTTTCCCCCTGGTACCCAGTGGAGTCTCCGCCGGCCAGTCTACGGTCTCCGCCAGGCGCCACGTGAGTGGCACGACACACTGAGGACTACTCTTGCGGCTCTTGGGTTCGCGCCGTCTACTGCTGACCCGTCGCTGTTTCTGCGCACAGACACGTCGCTGCCGCCGTTCTACATCCTCGTGTACGTCGACGACTTGGTCTTTGCTACTGCTGACACTGAGGCACTCGCTCGTGTGAAGTCGGAGCTGCAGAAGAGACACACCTGCACTGACCTGGGTGAACTGCGTAGCTAC